TATTTTACCAAACTTAGCATGCAGACATTTGAGGTTTACCTAATGCCTGCTTTTAGCTTTTGTGTTTTATGTATCATACATCATTCCCTTCTGGTGCTATGGAAACAAAATAAAGAACAGCACACCAAAGACCAATTTTAATGGTCCAGCTTGAGAAAATACTAGATTTGCTTGTGTGTGCTGCCTTTTAAAGATTTCAACCATTATGACAAGTATGCCTAGAAAGGAATTTTAGTCTCTGCTGCACTTTAAATACATGTACATGTGTGAAAATTTGAGACTATTTGGGTTTTTTCCTATCAGACTCAAACAATGACAAGCAACTGAAATCCGTCAGTAAAAAGAGCAAGAAAAGGAAAGATATTAATTTTGCAGGACCACTGGAAGGTAAGAAAACACTGATATGAAAGCTAAATAGAAATAAAATAGTCCAAAAATCTTTGGATTAGAGGGATTTACTAAGTAGATTATCACATTTTGGATCTAGATTCAGATTTTAATAAACCGTAAATGAAAAGGAGGTTGGCCCCAGCCAGCATAATTCAGAGTAACAATCTGCTGTTGAGGAGGTGAGAGTTGAAGGAAGAATTTTGAAGAAGGATGATGATGTACTGGTGGCTTGTGCATCTGTTATACCTGATGCAGAGATTTGTGCTATTTGATTCTTGGTTGGAAACTCTTTTTTCCCCTTTTCTTTTAGGGGAGGTGGGGAACAAAGATTTGCAACAATTGCTAAATCAGATGATCTCATTAAGAAAAAGTTCTAAATATTTAAAACATAGTAAAACTTCATTTTACTGTCTTTGGAAACCTGAAGTTGTGTCTCATAGAGTAATACTCTTTCTTTGAAGGATCCAGCCGAGGAAAGAAGAGAAAAGTTCAAGATGCCGGTATACTGGCATCTGCAGAAGAGGTGAGTTTGATCCGTGCTAAACAGAAAGTGATCAAGCATTTCACGTGTTGCTTTGTGACAGAATGCTAAAATTTCTCTCTTTAAAGTTTGGATATCTGCTGGATGAAAATGCTGGCTCCAAGTTTGACAATATTGGAATGAATGCCATGGCCAACAGAGATAATGCGAGTAAGTACATGCTGCAAGTAGCAGGCAGTTGTAATGCTGAAATTCACTTTCCCTTCAGGGTCTATACATGAAAACATGAACCACCTTTAACTGGAATACAGGGTCAGAAACCACACACAGAAGGGACAGCAGCTCAACAGTAAGACCTGACAGTTTTCTCCAGTGATGAGCGATGTCCAGTGCTAACTAATTAAGTGGGAGTAGTGGAGTGAATAAGGTTTCAGAAAAAAGAGAGGCTGTCGTTGGCCCTTTCACACTGTAAACAGGGAAAGGCAGGATGCTCTTTGTCAAGCATTTGTGTGAGTTCTGCTCAGGTGAAGTGTCCTTGATTCCTTGGGAAGGGAAGGCATAAGGGGTACTGCTGTATTTACCTACCTATTGGACTGTCTCCTTGCAGTATCAGTGAAGCAGAAAGTCGTTTTCCCAAAGTAATTCTAATGAATTACATGTGTATATGCCGGTTGAATAAACACTGCTCCTAACGCAAATGTGTCTAGCATTA